GTTTGTTGAGTACTGATTTCATCTAATCTGCCATTACATTATATGAATTGATGTGTATAATCATCATGTGTCTCATACAAATTCACATGTAATTCTATTTTTGTTTCATTAGGTACATGTTGTTCCACTTAGGGATTGTACTGACTGATATTTGAATTTGTTCTCCTATTTTTTTAAATTAAAGTTTGCATGAAACATTGAGTATAAAGAGATTCCGAGCAGTAAGAAAGCGGTAATTTCAATACTACGAGCTTTAAGTTGAGTCTATAAAAATATATTTTTATGAATCGCATCTGAATCATTGAGAGAGTCAATTAATTCGTTAAAGCTTGAATCCAAATACAGTGGTTGAAGACGAGAGTGTGCAAAACAGAAGGAACATTGAGTTGGAATCATTTTTCTTGGTATTTGTTACAGTAATGTCATATAAGACTTTGGTTGTGCTAATTTTAAACACATCTTTAAGATAAGCAAATGCTGGATTTGTAAACTCAATTTGATGTTGGTTTGTATTCATGTATACCATTTAACATACATTTGTGTTTCATACATGATGACCTCCACATGCAAAACTGATGACCTCCACATCCATCCCAAACTTAGAAAGAAATAATCATGAACACCGTAGCTTGCTTTAGGCGTGATTAATAAATCATCGTGGCCATGGGTACGGTTCTCGTGGCATGGTCACGATACATAAATTCCATTCGAGTGTGCGTTTCACGTGACTCGATCAGAACTTCAAATAATAATTAAAATTAACATGTTGTAAATCGCGGGTGCGTTTCACGTGACGCGATTCGCAATGTGTACAAAAACAATAAGTGCACGACATCGCGACTTATTTAAATGCCATAAGTCCTGAAAAGCAGTTAAAATTCTATTTAAAAGCGGTTCGAAGGTAAAAATGCACATAAGTCTTAAAACATGAAATAAATCAGATAATTAGGCCAAATATTAATTTTTAAGCGACCGTGCTAAAACCACAGAACTCGAGGGTGTCTCACACCTTTTTCCGGGTTAACAGAATTCCTTACCCGGTTTTCTGTATTCGCAGACCATAAATAAGAGTCAATTTCCTCGATTTGGGATTTAAAATAAACCGGTGACTTGGGACACCATAAATCATTTCAAGTGGCGACTCTGATTAAATAAATAATCCAATTTCGAACAATGTTACTTTAATTGAAAAAACTCCCCTATCCCCCTCGGAAAAAAGGAGGTGTGACACCAACTGGGTATCGCGGCGCAGATCTCGACACGTACCGACGGGAATCCAGTAATCAGTTAAACAAGAGCTTGATTATTCATTGAGGAGATGGTAACACATATCCCAAAGCAATATACTATTATTTTTACTATGATTGAAAGCTCTTATCCTCGTTCATCAGTGCTGGCCATTGTGAGTTCGGATCGAGGGTGAATATTTTATAAAGGCTGGAATTATCCTCCTCACGTGGTTTGAATTTACTATATCTTTTTTTTATTTAATCTAACGCAATTTATCGTTTGTATCGAATTAACCTGCATATCCTTAAAATCACTTACAAATTTAATTGTTATCCGTTTTTTTAGGGTCAACAGTGTGCATGGAGCAATTAGATTGCATCAAAATATGAGGCACAACTCAACACAAAAGAAGGGCAAAATAAAGCATTTGGTAGCCTTAGCTTAAGTATGGAGGATCAGTCTCGGAGTTCGTCAGCCAAGAAGATCAGTCTCGGAGTTCGTCTGCCAACACCAAAATCTCTAAATTCAATGTTAAGATAATGAGCCAGCCGATCCATTAAGTATCAATTATCACTTTTGTAAAGTGGGATCAGACTTAAAGTAGATCTGTACATTGTGAATAGTATAATGCATGCAAAATGTAACACAATAAATCATAATAATACCACATTAGGGGCCCTATTATGTACGTAATTTAATTTCATAACATTAGGAAATTATATCGGGGAGGTATATATCCGCAGAATATCAACACAATATATCCGACTATCAACTCGGCAATTAGGTGAGCCAACCATCCACTTGAAAAGATAAGTGCCACCACATGTATGCTATGACAGAGTGAACCATTAGCTAGTAAGCCAAAGTCTCGCCGCACTTGGCATACGTGTGTGTGATAATATGCATGTGACATGATGGACAAAATGATTTACTGCAACATTTTAACAATCAATTCACTTAGGATTTCAAGTAAATGATTAAACATTGATGAACGATTCTAGAATAACGGTTAAGGATATTAACTTTGATCCATTAATGTAGAAAACTGTTTGAAGAAGTTAGAATCTTTTAAATCTTGAACAATGCTCTTGTAATCGTTCTTCTCTGAGATGAAAAGAAAAGAGAAGAAACTTTGTGTTCTCGCTTAAGGACCGGTTCCTTTTAAACGTTATTTGAAGTGCGCCTTTCAAGCTTTTAGGTGCCTTTTTAATATATTTTCATCAAATTAAATATTAAAAAATTAATATTTTCTAGGCCCATATAATTTACATAATTAGGGTCTTTTAACCGGTTGCATATTCTTTGTATAATATACTAGTATGTGAGGCCATACAAAAAAAGATTACTAACATGACAGTCATATCAAATTTCAAACGTTTCTGCATTTGCAAAACAGTTCCTCAAGGGATACAGAATATCCACTCAAGGCCCTAAGAGGTTATTTGGTAGCGTTACGGGAAAAGTTATTTATGTATTAGCAGTAACATAACTATTACTCCTACGATATTTGGTAGCATTTAGTTACTTTGTACAGTCACCATCACTCACATTATGTTTGGTTGCTTTTTTCCATTGGGGTATACGTAATACATGAATAAGTTATCCAACAAATCTATGTATTATTTATGCAAGGTAAAATGTGAAATAACTAATACATGTATTAGTAATACATAAGTTAAACAACAAAATGACCAAAAAGCCCTAATATTTATTTTATATTACATATTGTATAATTAAAATAAAGTAAATATGTAACAAAAAATAATTTCTACATTACAATCTATAAATTACTAATTCATGCATTACTAATCCTTACATAACTAATCCCTTCATAATTAAATCACGCATAACAAAATCTTGCATAACTAATTTCTACATAACTAAACACTGCATAACTAATCCCTACGTTACTAATATCTGCATAGCTCACCAAGCAGCCAAAACGACCCCTAAATGTTCCACCTCTGGTATAAAATACAGAAGTCATCAGCGTTGATAATATAACACAAATCTAATTAGCTTTCAAATATACATATGTTTACATAATTCATTCGAAACATACATGAGACTATATACCTTTAATATACATAAAAATGTTGAAAAGCTCAAGTAGGACATGAGAAGTCTTTTTACACAAACTTCTTCCATAAAGTTCTTGCAAAGTTTACTACTTTCGTGTTGGTCCCATTTTATGTTGCAAAGTTCATATCTTGATTTAATTTACTTAATCTTTTTTTGTGTGAATTTAGACATAAATTTTATAAGATCTTTGAATAAATCCAATTGTTTAAAAATTAAATAAAAATATACTACAAATCATAGTAATGACAATTGATACAAATTTTTAATATAAAATTTAAATAGTAGTAATAAAATAAAACAGAAAAGGCACCTCAAATTGTCAAAGCCAAGGAAAACATATCGCTGCACGGGTCACAAGCCTCGCACGAAAAAGCAACTCAGTGTCTATGGCAACTAGGGCCGCTTATCGGGCGGATTTGACGGTTAATTACTCTTAACGATTTGGCTTAACGGTTATCGGCTTTTAAATGTATTAATCTGCTAGCCACCCGATAAGATATCGGGCGGATTGGTATCGGTTTAGCTCTTATCGGGCGGTTTATCGGCCTAATTCAATCTATATTGCGTGCATTAATTGTTTGTTGACCGACTAGCATACAAATTCAGAATAGAAAATTACACACTGAGTCCAGACATACATGTCTGTTAACGCCTACATAAGAATGATATAGTGTGTCATGTGGTGTAGAGTGAAAAAAGCAAAACACATTGTAGTCTACATTACATCCCAAAGCAGACTATGATATGATGTAATTAAGGAAAAAGTAGTTCTAATGGATATGTCACTGTAACTCTTGCTAGCTATAACATGGATCATACAAGGATATCAAATTTCATTGAGATAACTATGTGATTGCCTGGGTTTAGATGCAAAGGAACAATTTCAGTAGTTTAGCTCATTAAATATAATGGTATCTAAGCTTTTATTAATTTATTCATAGCACAAACGAAGTAAAATTACAATAAACGTGTGGTCCTTCCCTTTGTTTCTTGTTCATTAACAATATATTAATAATTAACACAAAGGCTATGCTGGATCCATATTTACAATTTTAAAAGGCAAAAATATGAGCTTGCTCTTCATACTAGGGCACTAAGATAGAGTGCTGGAAGCCTGAAAGTCGACGAAATAGAGTACTGCGGGTGACTGCTGGAGTGCTGGTTGAATTTCTACTGAAGCTGGTTGAATTATGGTCGAATAAAGAGAACCATAATTCTGCTGGTGGCTGCTGGTTGAAGTTTAGGCGTTAGGGTTCTGATTATTTAGGAATTAGGCGTTAGAACTTAGAGATAAAGTAC